AGGGAGGCATCCTCATATAGCAGAGATCAGGACTCAGAAAGCCCGGTGGTCAAGTACCATCTGTCTGACCTTGGAAGAGCTGTTTAACCTTATCTATAAAAAAGAAGATAATGGCTTCCTCGGGGTGCTGGGTGGACCCTTTGGGGTCGCATCATGTCAGGCGTTTAGTAGATGCTCAGTTAATGTGTTGATAGGTCCTGCGTGGGGGCATTTGGAAAATTAGAGGAAGAGCTAGGCCCAGAACGTTGCTCTCCTGACTTCTTGTTCAGAGCTTGTTTCACATCGCATTGGCCTGCTTTCATGGGAATTTTCAGAGATGTCCGGACACAGGGGTCCTTCTGACCTCTGGGAAAATACAAGTCACTTTATGAGAGCTTGCCTGACAGTTACTGAGCTCATGTAATGGGGACTTAGCTCTGTGGACTTTGCCTTGCAGTCCCCAGAACCCAGATCCACTCTCAGTAGCAGTAGTAATAATCATAATAATACTATACAGGGAATTCCCTGGCAGTCCAGTGGTTAGGGCCCCGTACTTTCACTGCCAGGGCCGGGGTCCGATCCCTGATCGAAGAACTAAGATTTTGCAAGCTGTGTAGCAAATAATAATAATACCATATACCATTGACCCTAAGAAGTCAATGATTATAAAACAACCATTGTTTTATGCAAACTATGAAAAAGAAAATGCTGCTAGTTAAACCATGATGTGCTATCGATTGTAAGATGCATCCTGATTTCAGAGATATTAAAATGGGGGAAATGTGCATCTTAGAATGGAAGAAACAGAATGGTAATAAAGTAGTGATAGTAATAGCTACATCTAATTGCTTACCTCAAATTTTTACAAATATTATTTTACTTGTGCATTTATCAACAGGCCTTTAATTTTCTAAGCACTCACCATGTATAGGCACCAGGGATATGAGGTGACTCAGACCTAGGCTGTGCACTTCAGAAGCTCTGATCCTAGTAGGGAGGTGGTACAGGAGGTGGCTGTAGAACAATGTGTAAGGGATGGAGGCAAGAAAAACAGAGAATGTCATGGGAGTTAGAAGAGTGCGCAGCTCTTCTGATCCTTATGGGCAGAGACAGTTGGAGGTGCCTGGGATTGATAGGAAGTTCTCTGAGGACTTCCCAGGTAGCTCAGTGGATAAAGAATCCGCCTGCAGATGTTCATTCGATCCCCGGGTCGGGAAGATCCCCTGGAGGAGGGCACGGCAACCCACTCCAGTATTCTTGCCTTGAGAATCCCATGGACAGAGGAGCCTGGCTGGCTGCAGTTCATGGGGTCACAAAGAGTCGGATACGACTGAAGCGACCAAGCATGAGCACCGTGCAGAGGAGGAAAGGAGTGAGCGAAGAGGATCTTGGCTGAGGAAGAAGCTAAGTAAGGAAGGATGTGTTGCAGCTGGAGCTAGCTTCAGCCAGGTGCCACAGGGAGCCCTGCAGTTGGCATTGCACCAACACAGATGTGATCCCACATTGAGGGAAGGGGGGCCCATCTTTTGGACCCCCTTCTCTGACGCTCCCCCACCCCCAGTCAATCATTGCCTGCAGTGCTCTCTCCCAGCAAGGGTTCCCTTTGAGAAGGGGGCAACACTGAACCCTTAGCAGCCAAGACTCAACAGTAGCTGGGGAATGGCATACCAGCCTGATAAAAGGGGATCTAGGGGGTGGCTCCAGCACTGTTCACTGCTGTGGCCGTCCTCTGTTGAAGGAGTCAAGGAAGGGTTTCTGGAAGAACTGCCATTAGGCTCAAGTCAAGAGCAGGGTAAGGTTTACCTGTGGATGCAAGGAGGAGGAGCGTATGTGAGAAAGTAGATGTCTTGGGAACTTCAGGTTGTTTGACTATGTGGGCCTGAGGCTGGGAAGTAGGGCAAAGCCAGATCATTCCAGAACCGCAAGTGCCTAACAGTCTGGCTAACAGCTTTTTGCAGCAGGTAATGGAAGCTTTTTTTTTTTTTGGCTGCACCACGTGGCACATGGGATCCTTTTTCCACCCTGCATTACCAGGCAGATTCTTAACCACTGGACCATCAGGGAAGTCTGGTGGGAGCTATTGAAAAGGGATATGATCACTCTGATGGCAGTATGGGTGATAAATATCCTAGACTAGATCAGTTAGGAGGAAAAATGGTAGCCAATACTTAGGAAAGACTCAACGTACACCATTGTTTTAAGCTCTTATCATCCCCATTTTGCACATGAAAAAACCAAGTGGTTAAGTAAGTTGCTCAAGGTCATCAGGCTAGTGTGAGCCAAAAATTGGACTCAGGTCTCAGCCTGTGCTCTTAACCTGTACATTCTCATGAATATGAATTTTGGCTTCTAGTCCAAGATGCATGATTTGTATTTGTTTTCATTTAAAAATAAGGCTTTAAAAAACTGTCCAGTGCATATGCTGGATCCCAGGGGTCCTGTTCCTCCTGACCCACAGCCGTAAGGTAGGGAAGCTGAGTTCTAGAGAACAGCCTGTGAAGGAGTCTGTTCTGGGGCTGGTTTTGCAGGGGGTGTTGGACTGTGCTGGAACGAGGCCTTTGGGAAGCTGGCAGCTCTGGTTCTGTGAAGAAAGGGCGTTTCTGTTTGTGGCCCTGTCAGCCCGCCCTCCCTGGCGGCCACACCTGTTCTGTCCTCCTCCCTATCCCCGGCCAGACGTCTGTCCCAGAGTGACAGCAGCAAGTGGGGACATCTGCAGAAGCTCCCTCTGGGGCCTGACAAAGGCACTCAGAACCTGGCCCAGGCCTGCGAGAGAGGGAGGTGGAGGCGGGGGACGGTGGGTGGGCCACGGGGTGAGGACAGCTGTGGGCTGCTGTGGCAGGCGCGGCCCTGCCCCGGAACAGGTGAGGTCAATGTGAACTCAGGCGGAGGGCCCCCTGGGTTTTCAAGGGTAGAAGAGAAGGCAGTGCAGGGACTTCTCAGCACACAGTGCCTTAATTTCACGGCTGGGGTTTCGAGCTCTCTGCTCCCTCAGAAAGGACGTGGCCAAAAAAGGGTGTGAAGAGAAGGCACGGGTGTCAAAGGGGTGTCCCTTTTGGGGATGGGTGGGCATGCAGTGGACAAGCTTGGAGTGCAGGAACTGGGCAGAAGCCTTGGAGAGACACTGGGAAGGGACACTGGGTCAGTGCTGGAAAGAGTTTCTCTGGGCAGAGCCCAGCAGAGAGGGTCACCCCAGGCTGATGGGGTGGACCTGGGGGCTTTTCAGAGGAAACAGAATCTTGACGAGGTTCTCGAAAGGGAAAAGCTAATTTTGGGAGAAGAGGATCTAGGATAAAATAGTAAAAAAAAAAAAAAAAAAAGTAACCTCGTATAGGTATGTAGCATGATACAGCTATAAAACCATTTTGTCCTCGTGATTCTCTAAATCCCTAGAAGGTGGCATTCTTTTATGGTTTGTGTCGCAAATACTGTTCTGGATCATAGGGATCCAGAACTCAAGACTCAGAGAAGCTAAGTGTCAACTCCCCTAAGATCACACAGTGGATTGGCTTTAGTTAGGCAGGATCCAGACTCAGTCCTGGTTCCCTGTTCTTTCTATATACAGCCTTGTTTTTCTTCTGTTGTAACTGTAGGTCATGAGGTCCCAGAGGTAGGTAGTCCCTTTATTCTGAAAAGGGCAGTGACAGCAGGACACAAGGCATATTAGGGACATAAGGTAGACTTGAGATTTCCTCAAAGGTATTTGTACTCTCAACTCCCCACATTCCTGCAAAGGTTGGTTATTCACTTAAACACACTGTGTGCTGGCCTGGATGGAAAGTCCTGACAGAGAAAGGACAGTGGGAAAAGGACTGGAAAACAGGCATGGGGTTTGGGGTGAAGAAAACTCTTTTAAAGGAATGATGGAAACAAGGTTAATGGAGGCAGGTGGACGGGTGGTGAGAACCTGGCTTCCGTGGAAGCTTCTTTTATCTTTTAGTAACAGCTTTATTGGGATAGAATTCACATACCACAGTATTCCCCCATGCAAGCTTCTTCATGGTCTCAGGTTGCCTCAGAAGAGGATGCAAATGACCACTCGGGCAGTGAGGGGTAACTTGGTGCAGAGTCCAGAGAGCCGATGCTGTTCCTGGAAGCCTCTTGAATGCCATATTCTACGGTCACTGGGACCCAGAATTTGAGATTCTGTCTAGGGTGCTTTGCTTCCTGGAGTGTTTCTCGGGAGATGCACTCCCTGGGACCTGGAGCTCTGTGCTCTTTGCTGTAGTTTTGTAGCTTGCTGGTGGAGAAAAGCCCGCTCTCTGGGTAAGGTCCCTGGACCATCTCTCTTTTTTTTTTTTTCTTTTCTTCCCCAAAAGGCACCCTTTTTAGTTGCCCCTATAGGAAGGGTTAGAGCTTCTAGAACCAAAACTTTCACTTCACATGTCAGTGATTCTGCACTGTCATATCTGCAGCAAAACTGACCTCCAGGGCCTTCCTGGAAGAGCTGCAGCTTTCTTTACACATCCTCATCTGCTGGCCTTTGGGAGGGAGACTTCTCCTGCCAGGCAGGCGCCATCTGGGACAGTCTTGGGCCCTCCTCCCCTTCTTCCTTTGTGAGCGAGAGCTACTCCAGGGTGAGCAGGGCTGTTCCAGGTCACTGACTCCTGTTTCTCATGCATCCTGCCATCCAGCTCTGCTCCCTGTGCTTCTTCTTGGGCCCAGCCCAGCAGCCCGGCATGGGCCAGGGAGGGAGTCCTGGTGGGACAAGGCTGAGGAGTGCCCTCTGGAGTGGCTCCCACTTGTTCCCTAGAGGCTGGGCTCTGGCTCCATGGTGGCAGGCTCTTTTAGGAATGTGCTCCCCAGGCAGGGTTCTGGAGGGGAACATCTCTGGGCTGGTCTGCACTGGCTCTGGGGGGTGCTAGCTCTGGGCTGGCCCAAGCCCACCTCTGGGGACCAGGCCCAAGGGGGAGGTCAGGATGGCTGCAGGTTTGCAGAGGAAGCTGGCAGCAGTGAGCACTGGAGACCAGGTGGCTTTGCTTTGGTTCCCACACTTGGAAGAGGTGTCAGTGGGAAGGAAAACATCAGACAAATGGAAAAAACAAAAAAGACTTTGCACAGAACCTCTTGCCAGGAGTCCCGGGAGTCCAGCCTCTATTTGGGGGCCTGCGTGCCTGAGCACCTCAATCCTCAGTGACTCACTGCCTTCCTCTGGGGGAGATGGGAAGAGGAAGAGAGGTGACAAACTTTTGGCTTGCCTTGTGATCTTGTGTAAGTCACTCGACCTCTCTGAACCTCAGTGTTCTCATCCATAAAATGAACGAGATGAAACTTCTCACACACACAGGGTTATTAAGTAGGCTGTGTGGGGGGACATGCTTTGAGAATTGCCAGGAACAATACTGTCAGAGCAGATGCTAAATCTGAGAGCCTGGGCTTTTCTTTGTTGGAGGTGGTTTCCCTGGCTCCTCTATTCATTTTTTGGCAATCACAGAATCATGGATTTTAAACTGGAAGGAATTTTAAGAGGTCATCAGGTCCAGTCCCCTGACATAATTATCTTTATTTTGCAGATAAGACTAAGTTGTCATTACTGTGACATATGTGTAAATAAGCCCTTTTCTTCCTGGGTAAGGTGTGAGCTCCAGCTGCACACAGGGGCTCCCACCAGCGAAGGGACGGAAGAGGATAGGAAGGTCATGCCTCTTAGAAGCAAGTGTGGGGTTTTGAAGGTTTCTAGGCAGAAGGTACCAGTATTGTCTCTGTCATCCACTGGGGGCAGGGGGAGGGCCGGGGTGGGTAAGGGCCTTGCCCTGCAGGCTCAGAAGGGCAGTGAGAATCACATTCTGCTGCCCCTCCCCTTCCCCCTGAGAAAGCAAAGGATGCACCTGCCTCTCAGGACTGGCCACAGGGGAAAAGCGGCTGCTGCCAGGACACAGTATATTCTTCAGTGGCTTTTCCTTCAAAGAAAAATCTCCTTCTAACCCATCTCCTTGGGAAAAACAAAAACAAATGGAAAGAGCCAGGGAAAATGGGCTCCCTCCCCAGGACTTACTCCCGGCCCTGGAGCCTCACTGTAAGGATACTTGGGGGCCAGCAAGAACCACCTAAGTAGCAGAAATGTTTCCCATCTTCCCGGCCAGTTGAGGAGGCATCAGGGGATGGCATCAGCTGATGGCAGGGAAGGTAGGGGAACTACAGGCAGGCAGCCCAAAGCTGCCCAACTCTGGCCTCAGTTGCTAGAATGAAACCGAGGCGCTTTTTACATCTAGGTAATCGAGACATGGGTCTTTTATAGGAACTGGGACCAGTCTCTCAATAACCTTAACACCACTAGCCAAAACGGGAAACTGGGGGAGACTGTTAATAAAGTGCCTTGGAGAGGACTGCGCGTGCCCTACCGTATCCAAAACTAGAGTTTTCTTTGTGGAAGAAAGCGACTTGTGTCCTCCCCAGCATCACACACAGACTTTCCTGGCAGGCCCGATGGGTTTCCAAACATTTCGTCACCGTCTCCTCCTGACCTTGGTGTGAAAGGAAAGAGCCGCGTGGCCTGTTGATTCCAGCAAAGCCATCGGGGGGCAACGTTCCTGGGCTGGGGGAGGGTGGCGACTGACTCTGGAGTGGAGGTGAGGTCTGCTGGAAATCCCCAGCCCGGGCAGCCGCCGGAGGTTTAAAGACGCCTTCCCCGGCCTTATTTGGTCTCAGGAAGTGGGCGGTGCCGGGCCTGCTGGCTGAGAGGCCGACCCGAGACAGTTGTGCTGATGAAGTGGTAGAGCTGGTTCCTGCTCGCCGCCGTGCCGCGCGCGCCGGCCGGCCGCTGGGCGCTCCGCGCTCCCAGCCCGGAGTTGTGCAATCCTTTGTAGCACGCCAGAGTCCTCCTCCTTTGCTGTTGCCTCTCGCCCTCTCTCTCTCTTTTTTTTTTTCAAGCTGTGAGCTCAGCCGATGAGTCAGAGCAGTGCAATCCTGACACTGCATCGCAGGACTGGGGGTGACACGGAGGGAGGGAGAACGATCGCGAGGAGGAAACCACGGGCGCGGGGTGCGTCGAGGCTCCTGCGCCGCAAGCAAGGGGTGACAGCCCGCGCGTCCCGCCCGGGCCCCGCCAGCAAACTTCAGCCTTGGGAGGCGCGGGCTGGCGGAAACCCTGAGAGCGCCGCGGGGCGGCGGCGGCGGAGGCGCCTGTTTGTTTTTAAAATCGGGAGTGCGTGCAGGCGACTGGAGCCTGGGAGGCGACCGAAGGCGGCGGCCCGCGGCGGAAAAAGGACAGCCGATGCGGGAGCTCGGGCCGGAGCGGGGTAAGTGGGGCTGCCAGGCCGGCGGCCGAGGCCTGCACGCGGCTCGGCGCAGAGCCCGCCCTGGCGGCGGCGGCGGCCAAGGGACCCCGGGCTGCGCTCGAGCAGAGGCGGCTGCTGGGCGCGCGGGCTGCAGGTCTGCAGGCGCGGCCTGGAGCGGGGGCGCGGGGCGGCGGCAACTTCTGCGGCCCGGGCGGCGGGGGAAGCGCGCGCCTGTACGTGCATTTGCCGCCTCGCCGCGCGCCCCTCCGCGGCCCGCACCCCCCGGGCCCGCAGCGGCGTGTGCAGCGCCGACCCGCCGTGTTTGTGCAGCTACGCAGCTCGCTCGCGGCCCCCGCCCACCCGGGCGCGGCCCCGGCAGGAAAACCCTCCCAAGCCGCCGGGCCCACGGTAGCGGCCACGGCAGTCTCAGGAATACGGCTGCTCCTCTGCCTGAGCGAAACGTGGTGTCCTACGAGGCTCGCTTGCGTGACCTAGCCCGGTTCCGGGAGGCGGTGGGGGTGGGGGATGGCTCGCGAGCTACGGGAACTTGGCGCGGGAGCCCTTCCCCTTGCACCGGAGAGTGGACGTGGAGACTGCGCCCGCGCCCGGAGTTTTGGGGACGGAGGTGGTGGGGAACCGGAGCTAGTGCAGCAGAGGCCTAAGCTGGAGCGTTGCGGGCGGGCGGAGCGGCCTCACCCCGGCGCTGCTGGTGCACCTCGGACCTGTCACCCCGCGGTCGCCCCCGCGCGCCCCGTGCCGCTCGGGCCTGCGGAGCCCTCCCGCCGCCTCATCTGGTGGTGGTGCGTTTGGTGGTTCCCCTGCGGAGCTCGGGAGCCCGGGTGTTTTTCTGGATCCTGCGTATGGCCCGCTTGGTGGAGGTGGTCACACCAGTCTTTCATTTCACTCATGCAAGAGCGCTTGCACCTCCAGGGCCCCCCACCCAGGCTTCTGGATTTAAGGGCCTGGGGCTTTCAAGCCTCAGCCCCAAGGAAGCCTCAGGAAGCCAGGCCGGGAGGAGGTACCTGCCAGCCTAAGCGGGGCTCGGGGTGGGGTAGGGGGGTCCCTGGGTATTCCAGCCCACCTCTAGAGTGAGCTGCTGGAAGGATGAAAGGGGAAGTTCCTCTCCCCCATTTAAAAGTTTGTCGGTCACAAACTTTAGTGGCTACTTCCTGCTTCCACCATCCCACCGAGACCTAGGTGCCAGCCTGTGGAGCCTTGCTCAGGGGACGGTGGGCTGGGTGAGAACTGGCTGGCCCTGGGTGACTATGGAGGCCACCTAGGCACGTGTGTGCAGGGGATCCCTGTTGGCAGTGGTGACCGGGGTGGGGAAGGTGGGGGAGGGGAGGTCTGGCTTGCTCCAGCAGGGGGAGCCTGCCTGGTGGCCTCCTGGAGGTCTGGCCTCTGCTGGGCCCTGCAGCTCCAGGACTGAGGCTGGAGCCTTGATGAAGGAGGATGAACCGCAGCTCTGCGGAGAAGCCTCTCTTTCCTTGTGGAGCCCCCGCTGAGGCAAGGAAATCATCTGTCTTGCTCCAGAACATCCCAGTGATGGTGTGCACGTGCGGCTTTCGCGTCAGAGAAATGTACCATTTTCATATGTGGTTAGAAGGCTTCAGGAGGAAGGGGAAAGGAGAAGCCATCCCTGGTTGGAAATTTATGGATCCTTTTTTTTTTTTCCTACGGCTCTGGACAGTGAATAATAGGAGTGTAAACATTCAATTACTGTGATAAACCATCTCATCGCATGTTTCTGGCCCAGTCTCCTCTCTAATTGGATTGGCCTCTGGCAGGTTACTCTGGTCTGTGTAGCTCCCAGGGGCCAGGGGGGTGAAGAACCTGGAGGGTTCCTTCTCCTCCCACTCCCCCAGCCATGCAGCTTGCTCTGGGAAGACCTGATTGCTGCCAGTGTGGCCTCTCCAAGCATCGGGGAGAACCCACTCTCTTCTTGGCTTGTCAGCCCCTCACCTCCCACCCTCCCACCCCCCTCAACTGGAGAGTGCCCTGGAGTGCTCCTCAGGATGAGAGTTCAGCTTTTAAATGTGGAATTTAAAAATAGCTTGAGTGTTTAGCCCTGTGGGCCACTGCTTTTAATAAATGGAGAAAAATAAAAAGGCAATATGCAGTAACAGATTTCAGCTGAAGGCCTCCTGTGGTAGGGGAACTCAGGGAAGGGCTGCCCAGTGGAGCCAAGGCCTCTGGGCCCGCTGAGCGGGAGAAGGATGAGGGGAGGGGGGTACACAGCAGAGTATACTGGAATGGGGAGTGGGATCAGTCCAGGAATTTTGGCTTTGACAATCCCTCTGATGCAGTTAGTTCCCACCGAAGGAGCCCTTGCTCCTGGTGCAATGAGGATGAGCACAAGTAGTGGGGAGACTCCATCTTATCCTTGTAATCCTGTTTCAAATGCCATTTCTTTGGAGAAGCCTCAACCTTCTTCTGAATACTCCTTAGATAGTCATTTGTGTACCTACTCTAGGGTGATGGTCAAAACACAGACTGGGAGCTAGAATTTCTATACCTTCATAGAGTTGCGGTGAGGGTTTTGCAGGTTAGTATCTATACATTAAATGCTGAAAGCTCGTTTCAGCATTACTATAGCTCACTCTAGTATATGCTCTATGTTGTTCCCATAGTGTCCGACATCTAGTATTTAGCTAAACAAGGGAATGAAAGATCTCCATCCAAAAACTGTAAACTTAGCATGTGGAGGGCCCTGAGAGTCTGGCTGCTGGAATTCATACTGTGCCATTGATTTCAAAGGAGTTGGTCCCTGTGTGATTCGGATACTGGTGAAGCCAGTCTTCTGGCACTGCCCAATGGCTGGCCTTCTGGAGAGCGTGTCCCAGTAATTCTGACCCCAAAGGGACCTCAGAAAGAAAGGGTACTGGAGCCTCCTGCCTGGGAATCTGCTAACCTGGGCATTTCCTTTGGCCAGGCCAGTTGGCACCCTTCCTGTATGTGCATGCATTAGTATAGAAGCAGCCTGGGGCCTCCATTCTTCCTGGACACTCCAGAGGCTCCAGAAAATGCAGCCAGGGGTCGAGTTCCATTGGAAGAGTAGCTTCTGCATGGGATCACCCTGCCTGTATGGGGCTGAACTAAACTCTTCAGTTGGGCTGGAGCTGGGTGGAGTGTGCTGAAATCCCCAGGTCTTACTTACGGGATCTGCATTTGCATTCGAAGCAACATTCAGGATACCGTGAGACTGTGAGCTCATTTTATGAATCAGAAGCATTACAGCATAAGTTCGGTGTTGGAAACTGCTCTTTGGAATCCAGATCACCCTCCCTCCACCCCCAACAACATGCACACTTATAGGGCCCTCACAGTCACATAGCTGGGAACAATAACAGTTAGCAGGGCAGCAGCAGTTCAGATTCCAGAGCCACCAGGCAAAACTTGTCCACACCTACGTCCATCCCCACACTCCGAGCACCACTCCTGGATGGCATGTGGACAGTAGCTGGACAGTGATTCTGAAGGAAGCCTGGCAGGCACAAGTGGACATGGCCCCGGCTGACCTGGGTTTGTTCTTCAGTTTCCCCGCTTGCTGTGTGGCTCAGCGTTGATTACCTTCCTGAACCTCAGATTCCCCACCTATAAAATGGGGAGAATAGTCATTCCTCATGGGGTTGCTGTGAAGGTTGACCAAGATCATGCAGGCAAAGTGACTGACCTGAGGCACTCAGCGGGGGGCGGCTAGCATCTCACCGATTCCTGCTGCGCCCAGCTCCCGTGTGCCTTTGGCTCCTTCCAGGGAAGGGGACAGGAAAGGTGTGCTGCTTGTGATAGGAGGGTGCCCAGATTCCAGGCCACTGGGGCTTGTGGAAATAAAGCTCCTGTTTGAACTCCCTAAGCCTTGGGCGGAACTGCGTGATACACCCCTGCCTGGACCAGCCCAGACCCTGCTGCCTGGGTCCTTTTGCCAGGGGTTGTGTCCCTGCAGCCGAGGGTTAAGGGCTTAACTTCCCAGAGATCAGACTGTGCTCTCAGGAGCCTACCCGCCCAGGCCTCAGGCCGAACTGCTCACGTGGGTGGGAGGAAGGCTGCTTTCTCAGTCAGGGGAAAAGTCTCCCTGTCTTTGCTTCACCTGAAGCCTCTCAGTGTGACCTCAGTGGAGGTTTGGGGTGGAGCCTGGGGTGGGAGTCGCTCCTAAGAGCTCCTTGGCTCTTTCAGCAATTGAAGGAGCAGAGGCAGAGTCGGGAGGGTGTGTGTGGGGGGGCCACCAAGCTATTATTATATAAGAAGAAAGTTGCCACGTGTGGGGAGAGCTGGGGTTCTGCAGGGGTGAGGGTCGGGGGCTCCCTGAGGGACTGGACTTGCTAGATGTGGTTTTTGGGGACGGGTGGGGAGGAGGGGGAGCTGGAGGCCGCAGGCGTCCCTGGCAGTGGTTGTTGATTGTGCTCTTCCTGGAAGAGCCTGGTACTATGGCCAGGCGGAAGGTGCTCCCTGGACCCTCTGCCTTTCTCTCCAGCCACAGGGAGCTCGCGGTGAGAACTATTTTTTTCCAGGCAGTGCTTCTTCCTCCAGGAGTCTCAAGAACAGAAGAGGGGAGCAGCCAGGGCAGGTTTGTCCAGGTCTAAGCTTGGAGAGAGGGAGGTACAGTAAGTAGGCTTGCAGCCAGAAGGGGGTTCCCTCTGGAAGGCCATCCATCTCCTCTGGGGAGGTGGGGTCAAGGGAGAAAGGAAAATAAATGGTGAGGGA